CAGTAGACTAAAAGACATATCAGATATACCTGAAATCCTAAACAGCACAAAGCAGCAAGTCCCTGCAAAAAACCTGAAGGTTTAAACACTACATCTGTTTACAAGAAACACAGTATCAACGTACATGCTTTTCTTGAATTTGCTGGGTTTTTTCTCTCTCACATAAAGGGAAGAAAGATGGAAACGGCAAGATCAGGATTTTTTTTTTTTTTTTAAATTACATTCCAGGAAAAGGTAACAGTTTTAGAAGCTACCTGCTGCAAAGGCTACGAGCTAGCTACTAATAAATGTTTAAAAGTGAAGGACCAAACTGAAGATGTAGTTCTGGTTCTCAGGTTCCTTTTAACTACTGAACACATCAATCTCTAAACTTAAGTATAGGATTTGCTATTTGACTGACGAAGTAGATGTCAAAAACTCTGAAGAGATCCTTCACTTTCAGGCAGAAAGCGCAGAGTATACAAACCATACAACAGATTTAAATAACTACAGACACTTCATGGTATTTTATTTGCTAACAAAGATCCAGAAATGGAGTGGAAGGAAGGAAGAAATAAAAAATTCCCCAGTTATTTCACTATGACTAAGTGTGGAAACACTTTTTCAGAACTTGTAAGCAGATGAAAAACAAGGTTACTATGATTGCTGTCACTTCTGCATGCATGTACACACATACACGTTATTTTCTAGGTGATGAGTTTCAGCATCAGTGTTATGCCTGAACAGGAAATTCCAGGCAGAACAACGTTATTCAAGACAGGCAAAATACCCTCCTTAGAGTAAATCAGGTACTCATACGAAACGACATGTTGTTACAAATTGCAGATTTTAAATCCAGACAGAATGTAAAGGAATCATGGTTGCTTTTAATTGTTCAAGTTAGGATGAGAAAAATCTTTTGCCAAATCTACCAGGTTACCTAGAAGATCATTTAGTGTATTACTGTCTTCTACAGCCAGAAAACAGAAAAACTTCTGTACAAAATATCTTGGCAAATCCTGGGTTACCATCCTTCAGAGAGCTGGGTAGACTCATCCTCCCTAAAAGACCTATTTAAGCCAGGCAACCTGTGAAATCCCGGGAACGTACAGCTCATGTAGGCTTCTGAAGGAAAACCTCACATCCTCCCAAGCACACATTTCTACTGGATTTTGTGTGTGTGGCTGAAAGGAAGGAGAAGGGCGGACGGTGGAACTGACAATGAAATGTGTTTGTAGCCTCCTAACCCATGATTTCACGCTGGGAATAATTAAGGAATCGCGTGTTTACTAACGATCTACCAGAAATCTTCTCAGGGATACATTAGCACAGACCCAATACCCAAAGATTCACAGTTGCCAGTCGAATAATTGATAATGTTGATTTCTTTACAGGCATATCAAGCTTTTACTGCATACATTTTTTCACTAGATGTAATTAGCAGTATTAAAAGCCATCAGTGTGTATGTTCTTCTGCAAATGGGGACTGTTTCCATAAGTCCTGGAATTAACTTCACTGCAACCGTTTATACACTAAAGACCTGATAGTGTTTTGTTATAAATGCCATTATTGGAAATGCCTTTCAAAGTAACAGATTGACACAAAAACAACATATTGCTATACTATAGACCATTTTCCATGTCTTGTTATTTTAACAAAAACATTTTTATTTTAACATCAGTTTTATTCCTAGCAGTGTATTTTAGCAAGTGCACCAAACTGCACTTGTTATCATCACCAAGATGGCAGCATTACAGAAATTAACGTAGGCAAAAACTACCAGAGCAGAATTGGGAGTACAGCACCTTTACTTCACAGACAATAATTGGGCTGAGGGGAAGCAAGCAAATAAGTGACTACAACAATGCCTTTCCCCTGCCTTCAAGTTCTTCCAAGATAATTCACTTGAAGATGAATTACTTAAAGCTGGTTCCCCAAGAAACGGAATATTTTAATCCTATTTATTTCTTTACGATATTAAAAAGGAGCCTGATAAATTTGCACATATTTCTAACAAAACGCCCAAACTCCACTTACTATGCCCTGGAAAGCCACGATGGTAGAAACAGCAGCAAAGTAACATAAATTAGTGATAAGCTAGACAGCAAAGTGACTCTGAGCCAGATTAATCAAAAAAAGATCCAGAACTTCCGGCATTACGTATGAAGAACAAAACAGGGTGTCCTGTTTATTTTCATTCTGACAAATTAAAATGAAGCTGGACACAGTTAATAAGTGTTTCTCACGCAGTCCAAGTATTCATGGCTTTATTGAAAAAATTGTGTAGCCTACTGTAGACAGGTAAAGAACTCCAGCAAAACCTTAAAAAGTAGTCCTATGTAATTCACCACTTCCAATCTGTTTTTCTAATCCTCTTTGGAAGGTAAGACTGGAATTGTTACTTGAAACTGGTCTGAAGGAAAAGGAATCATTTCATCAAATAACAGGAATAAGTTATATTAGTTCATTCCAGTGCAAACAAAAGCATCTGTAACAAGTCTATAGATTTTTGCCCTTTCTATATATCAGCAAGCTTACCCCAGTACCTTTAATGCTCTTTACAGAATTGCTTTAAAAGCATTCCTTAGTATTAAAGTCCTCCAGTTTGCTTTTTTAAAGTGTTCCTTGATTTGTTACTGAAAAATAAGTAGGAACAGTGATATATTGATATTGTATCCCTGGGAGTGATAATCTATTTTACAAACACCTATGTCTGTAAACTGATAGTTTTGTTTGTTTTTTTTATAATTCAGTGTGGTAATGTGAAGAATACCTCAACACACTAAGGGAAGCGTTGGATCTAAACTACACTGTGGAATCCCTTCAACTTCACACCACCAATATTAACCAGAACAGCTAAGGCATGGTGTGTGAAAGCAGGAAACAAAAAACTTTCTTTAGCACAGTATTTGATCTAAACACTTTTTGTACATAATGAAATATATTTCTAATGAAATTCCACCAGAATTTTAATTTATAGATCACTAACTTTGGAATGGAGCTGGCATGAGTATTTACACATTTTGAAGGCTGTACTAGGCAAAGTTTTACAGGTCGCACTCCTAAATATGTAAAAGCAGAATGCATGTGGAGAAGCAAAAAGCTGAAGATCAGTTTCCTAACACCATAAGCTCTAAACTCCTAGTAACAAAATGAAAGCTTGTATTTTCCACCAAGAAAGCTACCTAAGTGTTATCCATGCAGCTCTTCCAAATATGTCTTCTGATCACATTTAACAATAGTGCTAGGGGCCAAAACCAAATCAAACTTGCATGGTTTGCAGAAACATTCTCCCACCCCCAACACTCAGGGGTTTGTGTATTATTTTTGTTGTTGTGGGGGATGTTTTGGTGGCAGTGTTTGGCTTTCCGTTTTTGCTTTTTTTGTTTGTTTGTTTTTTTCTTATCTGACAGCAGAAACAAGGAATAATCTGCCGTGTCCAATTTTGTCCAGAGACGTAGTTTTCCAAATATTTCCAACTTACTTAAAAGATGAAGTGTATTGTGGGTACATCATATAAGCAGAAGCAAAGATAATCTTTACAGAGCTATTCTGCCAACTAAAGAGTGTATACTGAGATGTATAAACTATAAGAAATTAAAACGTAATTCTATTTGAGATATAGTCACAATGTTCAAGTACGCAAGGTAACAGAAGGAAATGTAACACAAAGTCTGTTCTTTATGGCCTAAATTAAATGCTTTACTCCTACTTTATGCAGAATGTTAAAAGTATGTAGAAGAATTGGTGAGGTTTTTATAATCTTGACAACTCTGCATGGAGGCAATCCCCATTTTCTCTACAAGGCTTAATAAGTAGTTAGTACAAACCTGGAGAAGGGTACAGAATACGTTTAATGCAGAATCATTTCTTTTGTAATGCATCAAGCAAAACGGTCCCAAATCTACTTGGATCCTTCCAGAATAACAGGTGTAAATGACAGCCTAGAAATTTGCTTGCCTGCTCCTGCAAAGAACACATCTACCATAATGCCTACACACAGATTCTGTTAGAATATCATCACGGCAAGAACACTGGAGCCCAACATCTTTTCGAATTAGTGATGTTTATAAGTAATGCATTAGTAAAACAGGAAGAGAGCTTAAGAATCAAGAGAAACATGGAGAGCTCTACTTCATAAAATACAAAATGCAGTTCCAAGCTGGAAGCATGATTTTAAAAAAGAGAAATCCTTAGTTTAGGACTACGCTGAACAAGCTCACACCCCTGAAACTGAAATTCTGTGTTTTTATTGCATACCTTCTCTGCAATTTATCTGCATGCCTACGATCCCCAGCCTCATGGCAATCTTTAATTATTCTCCTATTGAATTATGTACCTTTGACATCTTCTGCAAGAAAGGAATAGTTGTCAGAAGCTGTTGTTATTGCTCAGTAAGACTGAAATAAGAGAGGAAGAAAGCTCAACAAGGCCAGTGGAAAGGCACCAGAAGTTAGCATACACAGATGGTAGACAGAAAACTATCGAACCCAAGCCAGGATTATTTGCATGTGTTCTCTATGATGTGATCAAAATTTATTTGTTTCCTCTACATAAATGCTCTCCTCCTCTTTAGGACTGAGAAAAAGTAACTACTTTGCCTCTGAGGAAGACGGAACAGAAGGCACTCCCATGAAAAGAATGGAATCCTCTGCATGAAGATGCGTGTTCTGAAGTAAAAGTGGTCACAAAGATTAAGCTTGGGAGAAAGATGAATGTACTCTTGATCCAGAAACAGATGTTTCTATTAACATTAGTTGTAGAAATGTCCTTATATCCACCTCCATTGTTTAGAGCTTAAGTGGGCAGTAAACAGAGTAACGCCATCGTGAACTGCAGCTGATCTGAATATTATAAGGCACCTATTAGAGCAGCCAAACAAAAACTTGTTTGGAGGATTTAAGACAGAGATGTAATACAAAAATGTAGACAAGCTGATACTTCTGTATTGTGAACACCTAGTTAAAAAAAGGTTTTCCCCCTCCTGAAATACCCCAATCAGTACTTTTGGTACACATACCTCGAAGAATTCTCTCCTCATGGCAACGTAGAAAGTCCCAGATTCTAACAGTGCCGTCGTCAGAGCATGTAGCAAATTTATTATCCGTGGGTGAGAAACTGTTACATGAAGACACACAGCAGGGGAAAGAAGTCAGCATTTAACAGATTATCTATGCTTCTCAGACAGGGCAAAATTATACTGTAATGTGTTATACACTGAAGGATGCATTTGAACATAGGGACTTTTAAGTGAATACAGTGCCTGCCAAATGACACTTCATCACAGGACACAAATTTAGCATAGGATTACTATGGCATTGCACTCCCCTGTGAAATGAGGAAAAAATCCGGAATTTATTCTTAGCACCTTCCTACCTATGACTGCACACGGTAGCGCCTTCTCTGCAGAAGAAGAAGCAACACCAATGTGATTTGGTAACTGTCACCCTAGATTTTCATGTTTGGTAATACCATAACAAAGTGACACTGTGTAGAAGCACAGGAGAACAGTTCTTAGGAAAAAATTCCTCTTCAGGCACAGGTGCTTTGCAGCAGAGAAGCAAAAATAAGGGAAAGCTGGTCACAGGAAAATGCTAGTTGGATTAATTGTTGAAAAAATTGTATACAAAACAAGCATATCACAGTAATTTGAAAAAAAAAAAAAAACAAACCCCTCTTATTATACCCCATCAACACCATGAAAAGAATCCTACAGACACAGAAGCAGCTTCCAGACTGAGCAGTCAGTATTACTTGATGAAAGTCACTGGAAAAGCAAGGAGTTACTGAGCTATGTGATTAGGGCCAGAATATCTTCAGCAACTGGCAGGCACTGACTTCCTTTCTGGTGCAGTGAAAGACCATGAGGGAGCCCTTGTGAAATCCTAGATCCTTCTGATCAGGAAAGGGCTTAAAATAGCAGAGAAATTCAGCGTATGGCCATGATAGACAGTAACTGAATCCAATGTAAGCACTTCTCATAACCAAACTCTGGCAGAAAATGTTGCACCCTATCAATGAAAAATGGTGACTTTAGTGGAAAGTGGTTTTGTGGCAGTGAACCTTTATCGCCAAGGGCCAGCACCTGAACCCGAAGAAACACTGCTTTAGCTTCAGTTTGGATCTGCAGCTTCTCTTCAGGCTTACTTGAAAAACATTTCCATACCTTACTAAAGATTATGTGCAGGTTTGCTTTAGAAACATCATTTACATCTTACTGATAGTATCACTTTAGATTCCATCTTTTATATAAATAGACATTTGCACAACTGAGGCATCAACACTGAACCAAGAGAATATCCTACAGTCTTCTTTTCAATGGCTTGCTTACACTTTCAAGCTTGAAGAACCCATTCAGTATTAACATTAGACTTCTGTATGTGCCAGTCTGCGTGGGTATTTAGTATTACTGGAAGTCTTGGCTTTGCCAAGCCAAGCAGTTCTTCACTTTATTTAGTGTTTCATTATTCTGTGAGAACTATGCAGGTGTTTTATTTCTGAAGGCTTTATATTTTATTCAGTTAGATTATTAAAGACTGAATTCTTTATTTGGAATGAAATTGTTGTCTTACACAGTGCGTATAAAAAGGAATAACTGATACACATCGTCACCATATAAAAATGAAAAGAATACCAGTGCAAAATGCGGCAGACAAATACATCTCTAATATATTGCAGAGGCGGATATTGGGACAATACTAACTCAGAAAGGTGCCAGCAAAACGGTGAGAATGTGGAAACAAAAGAAAATATTGTGTTTATGTGGTGCAGGAAGTTTCCCAGAATCTGACAGAACCCATGCATTTCTGCACCCAGAATACACTTAGAGAACAGTCTAATCATGGCAATAGGTACTACAGAAAATGGTATATTGTGTATAAACCTGGCCTCTCTAATCGCCTCCTTATGTGCCTGGAACATCTTGACGTTGTTCATGTTGGACTGCCAGTATTTCACATATCCCCCGTGGTCTGCTGTCAGCATCCACATATCATTGTGTGACCAAGTCATAGCCCTTACAGGGCTGTCGTGAGCCTGTAAATTCAGAAACAAAACTTCTAGCAAACTTGTTCAAATACTGTCTGACCCACACAAACACAAAAGTTAGTAAAGATCCTACTCAACAGCTGCAACAAAGAAATAAAAACAACGATGATCTAGTTAGAATCAAGATGTTTTTGTGGAAAAAAAAATCCCTTCTTTTGAACACAATGGTCTCCTAAATAATAAATGAAGAGTATTTCCATTTTGTTTCTTTATGATTATGAATATTCATAGAATGTTCTTGAGAACAGTTAGTATAGGAGACACATGGAGATGGAATGAGAAGGATTAAATGAACTGCCTACAACCATGGTCTGACATTGGGTCAAAGCCCAATAAAAAAAATAAAAGAGACCTCTAAGCTTCCCATTACCGCACTTAGACCACAGACCCATGATGAGCAGGGTGAAGATGTGTCCCTAAAACATGCTCCGAAACCTCAAGGAAATACACAGAAATCTTGACAGATTAATTTACCTGCAATATTGTTTCAAAATTGAAAGTCAGTCCATTCCATAAAGTGAACTCTCCACTAGATGCACCAGTGACCAAGCGTCTCCCCTCAGGAGTCCACTGCAAAAGAATAATTTAACTAAACTGTGCAAATATAACACTCAAATGTTTCTTCACAATCCTCCAAATAAATCATAAGCTTCTTGCAGGGAATGTGCAGAACTGGAATTTACTGAATGACTTTCTAGAGGATGCAAGATAGACAAAAATGAAGAACTGTGCCAGAAGGCTTCTGACTTTTGTAACAGCAGCGCATAGACCACTGCAAAAGCAACAAAAAAAACCTAGTTGTAGAGAAGAAACAGCTTATTGGCACCAATACATTTCTAGCACAAAATATCCATACTAAACAATACTGCTGACATCATGGAAAAGCTGTTAAAAGGTGCTACAAGAGCCAAACAGCAGAGACCAAATTGCCTTTTCTTCTGTGAGTCAAGATATATAAGTCCCCATCAAATGGACAAAAAAAAAAAAAAACCCCCAAAGTTGAAGTGTGGGAAGTGCACCTCAAACTCTAAGAAAGAATTATTTTGTACTCAGACCTCACCACTTAACTTTCTAAATCCCTCCACAGAAAGACTAGACACAGAAGTAGTCCATGTATACCACATGCTAGTTTTATTTGTAAATGCTTTAAATGTTGTCTTGTTTCCTTTCTTCAGTTAAAAATATTACTCTAATTTAAATTAAGACAATACAACTAAGTAAATCCAACACTATACTCACCCTGACAACAAACACTGGGCATTTTACTTTATTAGTAGATGTCCGAACAAATTTTGTTGTCACAGCATTCATAGGGTTGTTCAGCATTCCTATAGGAGGGACCAACTATGGGAGAAGAAACAAAAGATTTAGTAATGACACTTCTAACCAGACACTGCAGGAAAAACATACATTCTGAACACCTATTTCTGGAAAAGGAAGTTTTTCATTTGCAGGTATATTATCAGAAGTCAGTAGAAATGTTCAATAGTCTGCACAATTTACTGTCTCAAACATCCAGAACCAACATCTTCAAGAGCAGCTTTGCAAGCTCTTGCATTATGAGAGTTCTTATGTCCAAAAATTAAAAGCTTATCCAATTTCAGATTCTCTTCGTAGATATGGATCCCAACAGAACAAGACAATGTAGAATGAAGATATCGCTTCCTATCTTTAAGGCCTTTTGTGGACAAAAAGATAACATCTACCAACAGGCAGAATCCTGATTTTCTGGATAAGTCTCATCCACAGAACTTCATCAACAAATAGAAAGATTTTACTTACGTCATTATAATATCCTGCATCAGGCTGGATTGCTCGCATATCTCGCTGGTCTCTTTGCCATACTCTGTTCTGGAAAGAAGAGAACAACTAGTTCATACCACCACTATACTGCATTGTCAAACAACAGAAAATAAGGAACACGTTGACAGCCCTCTCAGGAAATCGCAAAGCACTCCAAAGATTTTAGAATAAACTCAGTCAAAAGACACTTTGGCTTCAGGAACACTGTAAAATTTGTACAGCATAAGCAAAATATTCAAGAATGTCTGATGTTTTAATTTCATGAGACTAAAGCATCTCATTTAAAATTGCAGCTTAGCAATATGAAAGGAGCAGTCCTATGTGTAAGTCCTATGTTACATTATTGTAACAAAGACGACTGGTACTTTGTTGCCCAGGCTAACAGGTATTCTACAAGAAGCATGTTCAATCATTTCAAAAGCTGCACTCTCAGGATAAGCATTTACACCACCAGGAGCTGTGCTGATGAACTCTAAATGAAATTCCACACAGTGGCATAAGCCAGAAAGGAAGCTTCTGTGGCTGAACTGCAAGATAATAAAGCATTTAAATGAATACAACAAGACCAAGGGATAAAAATGCCTTCAATTAGTTAAATTTCGTGAGCTTTCAAACACCACCTTTTCAAAACACTTCACATAAATTAAGAATGAAATTATTTCAGCTTTATGCTGTAGATTGTGCCAATTTGGATCTATGAACATATCAGAAACAGAAGCTAAAATTCTAGCTCAAACATTTCCAGCATACACTACTACAGTTTGATATAATTTTTTAAGCCAAAAGCAAATTACATATAAACCATTTTTCTCATTTTTTACAGAACCACAGCAAATTAAATTAGTGGTATTGAAGTTAGGACTGAAAGGGAATTCTGGTATATCCTAATTTTGTGTAAGTGTCCAAAACATACAGATCTGATTTTTTTTGTTTTAATAAACAGAAGTTTGAGGGTGCTTATTTCTGCCACAGTAAACAAGGTTCTGAACTACTAAAATTATTTTTTTAGATTTAGCCCACTACTAATAGAATCTTTTGGGGGGCATTCCTAAAGTATACAAACATGTTTTAAATGTTTGGTGTTTAAATAGATGTTAGAGGATAATTTAAACTTAGTAAGAAGAAAACCTTTCAACTGTTAACACCTACAAGCTATAATCGTGCACTGGCCACAGCAGACTGAATCCATTTCTTTATGTTTTTGCAATGTTGCTGTTGAGATTCCAACAATTCCTGTATTTACAGATTTGATTCTATTTCTTCTGAGCTAATACTCAGTACTTGTATAGTAAATCTTGATCACAAAATTGTATTTCTTAAGAAATGAATACCACCCCATTAGGAAAGCTAAATAAGCATTTTTACAGAAACCTTTCCTCAACAAAACCTCATTTATGGTGTTCTGTATCTATTAACTGCACAGAAAGGGATTCTCAGAGACCACAGTACAAACTGTAGTGTTATTTAGTAAAATGATGAGAAAACATTTTTATGGCCCCCTCATTTTGGAGGGGAAGAGGTAATGGTTTATTTCCCATTTTGGGAAATTTCTATTTCAAAACAAAAATAAGAACAATTACATTATTTATAATGAATTTTTACGTTCACTCAAAAGTCAGAACATCACACAAGATGCTCAATTGCACTCCAAGTTGGAATTCCATGACAGAATGCAAGAACTGGCGTTTACATAAACTATAAAATCGGCTGTGTATATGTGCAGTTTTATTACCAAGGACCAAACCCCTTTGTATTCATACTACACCAAATTCACAAGCATTTGTCACTCAGTTTGAAAATGCTGCGGTAGATCTCCTGTACTCCAAACTGCTCTATGGACACTGAAAAGCACAATCACTAATTTCAGGAAGGAAAAAGGTTTTTCAGACAAAACCAGAAAATTAACTAACCTCCAAATACTTAATTACAGAGGGATTGTAGTCTATGGTCTTTCGGTTCACAGCTTTTCTCATCCGCTTTCCATCGAAAGTAAGCTGTTGCATTGCTTGCTGCTGTGCAAAATCAGGTCTTTTGTAGAACAACTGCCGAGGCGCCTGGTGCTGGAACCTCGGCATATGGAAAAATCGGGGCGGGGAGCCAATTTCTGTGGCCATGGCTATCTTGTATCTGAAAGACTGCAAAAAGCAAAACACTAGGTTAATACATAATAATGACATAAATCCCACATCAGTATCTTTCGTAAGTTCACAAGTACGAATAGCAACTTCATAAAGCACTGATTATTGGGAAGAAATATTTGCAGGCTCCTCTGAACAATTATTATTCTTACCCTGTGCCACTTAGCACTGACATTACAGTGGTTTAATACTTTGTTCGCTATCAAGAGGCATTTTATATTGAAACAGATCGCTATGCAAGTTTGCATTACCATTCCTAAACTGGAACTATGCAAGAACGTCCTCAGTAAAAATAGCACAAGCAAAGGCAAGAAATGGTAAGATCCTTCAACAGAAGATGATATTTCAGATTCCATATACAACGGAAAACACCATATTAGTCAATTTAACTATTAACAAGGAAGTTTTAAAGGGCTACCTCAAAACCTTATTCTAGGGCTAGAAAATAAAATTACATTCCCTTTGCATAACTTATAGTAAATACACCACAGACCACGCTCTACCTGCAGGTATACTTTCAATTCCATTATTGCAAAATAAATGAACTACATATTTATCAAAGCTTGATAAGTGTAACTGAATATACCTTCCTCACAACAAGATCCACTGAGAATGTTAAGAAAATGTGAAGGGCAGGGAAAAACTTTTCAATTTTCAGATTTTTTCTGACAAAGGGAAATGAGTCTAAAACCTTATTTTTCAGTCCATTAAATCCTTGAAAGATGAGAACATAGCAACATCTTCACAGCTGAAAACTACAATATACACTATCCTTAAAATGTATACTAACTTCAGACTAAGCAGTGACACATGCTGAATCAGTGAATTCTGAAACTTAATCTTCAACTTGTACTCTCCCCCCATCCTGAACTCATAGTTTGACAAAAATTTTAAACCAAAATAAACTGGCACGGTCACCAAGGGAAAGCAAAAAGGCTGAAAAACCCTCCCTTGCCTGAACGTTGAAGTGTTTACACAGAGTCAAAGTACAATGGAAATAAAGTTTCTTTAAAAAAGTTGAAATAATCTGTTTGTTAATTCATGAATGTACTTTCCTATCTAGTTAAAATATTAATATCCTCAATTTGAAAGATTTGGAAAGTTCTTTCAACTGCCACTCTTAAAATTTTATCTCACTTTTTTTATTGAAATAATTGGAAGATACTTCCATTTTTTAAACAGCAAAATAAAGCTAAGATAAAAATCCCAGACAAAAGAGGGTCTAAAAGTAGTGCATAATCTGACTCTTAAAAATGTTCTTTATAACTACATGGAGCAGGCTGCCATTAAGTAACAGTTTGTTGGCACAGGGCAGGGATTACCCTTTTTCACAGGCTTTGCAAACCTAGAAGCCACACACTCCTTTCCACTGCTAACTGACTGCGTGTCAGGCCAGCTGCAAAACAAGCTATGACACCTGGCTGTCAGCTACACAAACAACTCTCAGGTTCAAAAACAAACTAAAGCCATTACAACTATTCTCCATTCCGGACAAACAAGTCCAGACTAAAACAGCATGCTTCCTTAAACGAGGTAAGGAAATTTAAGACCTCTGGCAGGAGTAGCATCTTTTATTAGACTAACTCTTGCAACTGGAAAAAGAGACTAACTTTAAAATAAATCTTCATGTGGCTGAAAGGCTCATTTGCCCAAGAGCTTCCCAATCCCAACTGTTCTAGTAAGACACCCTGTCTAGCTCCAAATACTGCCACATCCATACCACAGTAACAACACAATTATTACAATATTAAGCTCATCTGAAACAAGAGAAAGGTATCAAAACTTTCTCATGCAGGAAGTTATGTCAAGTATCCTTAACACTATCTCAGATTCTCCTACAACTTGTCAGAAGGCAGCTAACTTGTACACAAAGTTTCAGGTGTTAAATCTCAAAGGTAAAACTAAAAGGATAGTAGTGGTTTTATCTGAAAAAAGAGAAAGCAGCTTCTTCAAGCAAAGCAAGCTGGTATTTAACATGCAAGTGCATTAATGAAGTCTTTTTAATTTAGTTTTAAAGTTTATGCATTACTCAGGAAAAACACTAGAGAAAATTTCCAGTACTAATCTCTCTCAAGTCTAAAGATACGCACTCCTATGCCAACCAGTGTGTTAACCAGAAGGAAGAAGATCTTTTTTTCTAAGCCACACATCTATACTCTCTTACAGGCAATGCAAAAAGAAATTTCAAGAACCAAGACCAAGAAGGCAAAGATATATGCTGGGGCTTCCAAAAACCTTTGCTCATACATACTTGCAAGAAAACATTGCAAAAAAATGCCTTTTTGGAGAAACGCTCTAAAGGAACAAGTTAATTCATCATTTACAGAACACAATACCTCCCAAAGAAAATTTTTCAACTACAAACATAGGTAAATAAAGAATTAGCTATGATATGGATCAACTTAGATTGGACATACCCAAAAGTATCGCAAGCAGGGTCTAACTTAGATTAGCATGAACAACATTCACTTAATATGCAATCAAGAGCAAACATTGCTGTTTAAAAGGTGATCAAAGGCATAAACATGTTAATTACACCTCTTCACACTACAGACCCTTCCAAGTTCATGATTATGACAAGACAATGTGACATCACAAACTACAACATGACAAGCGAAATGACACAGGGTTAGGAAAATGAAGGGTTTCTGTTCTATTTATGTTCTAAGCTTTTTGTCCAACTTTTGCAGTCCCCGCCTCTATCACACAAAGCCTCCTACTTGCAGTCACAAACTTTGCAAAAAAATGTTTACCCACCTACTCATGATCATTTTCTTCTAATAATGCCTCAAATATCATGCTTTTATCCACATAATATCCTTATGCCCAAATCATGTTTGCAGACCATATGCATGAATACATATAAATAAAAAAGAGTGTGTGCACATGCATATAAGATGTGTGTATGTAGACACCAAATGAAGCTTCCAAACAAAGAAGGTTTAGAAAAGAAGGGGGGATTTGGTACAGATTCAGTTATCAGATGAAACTGGAGCATTTATTTCCAAAGACCGCTACTCCAGTCAGACAAATATACCCATTTAACATTCAAGTTATAGTATCCTACGTCGTCTTTTGTTGGGACAAACCAATGCCTCAACAGGCTTGCCTTTAGATTTTTTTTGTATTGACTAAAATAGTGTCTGAATTCAGTGCGTCTATAACTAAAGCTCCTACTGTACTGGGAGAGAGAGTAGAAATGTGAACAAATATTAGAGGGCAATGTGTAATCCAGAGTAGTAACATCCAAATTTCTATTTTAAGCGAAGTACCAAACAATGTTTTTATTTTAGAATCCATCAACAAGGGTTTAAATAGAAGACTCAATTTTTTCCTTAAGACACAGAATTAGAAGCAACAGCAGAATTTTTTCCACCAAGAACAGGTCAGCTCATTTTATTGTTTCTGGCTAGTAGTGTTACCAATTAATTGCTATTCTGTTCTAGTTCATCATAATTTTATCACAATTTGAACCATGAATTGAATTTTTGTATGCCATTCTTCCACACACCCTTATTGTTTGCAGCAGAAACATGACTTTTCAGAGAGCTGACTGTCAGTTTCCCCCTTCCCATCCCCACAAATACCCCTTCAAAGCTAACTAGCTTTCACGCATTCGCGGGGTAAATGTATTTGGGGATACGGAGAGAACATATAATGAATTCACTGAGCAAAGATAAGGCCATCGAGAAACACAAGAAGATATGTAATTGGGCCTACCTTTCAGCTAAGATGACAAAAGAAAGCCTTGAAAATGCAATCAAATTGGGGAATAAATGAAGGCAACATCTGACACAAAACTGGTTGGAAAGAAACACAGTAAGAGTGGGAGTAACTATAGAAGCAAAAAAAATAACTGAGGAGCAAGGTCAGTCAAGAAAAGGGAGTGAAACCTGACAGATAGACACAGGTTTAAAAACAAAAAAAGAAGAGAAATTAAAATAATTTAGTCGAGAGAGAATTGGGTACAAGAAACTGCACAACAGAACTCAAGGAGCTTGTGATAGGACCCGAAATGTCAACCGCTGTTCCTTAACTGTCAACAAACACACTTGCAACAGAGCAAGCCTTTTATTAATTTCTAGCAGTGCCATAAGGATGGCAGGTTTACTAATGCTATCGAGTGATCAGAGAGGGACATGGCTACACAACACTTAAAAAATGAAAAAAACCACAATAAATAAGGATGACCTTACACTCAGGGCAGCATGGTGCCACAAGACAGAAACAAAAATCACATACAGTATTAGTCCATTACAGAAAACAGTTACCACTTAGCTCGTGTACTCAAATGAGGCTAAAAAGATAACACTAGCACTTCACTTACTAACATTGTTACTTTAGCATCTCATTTGGATATGGCTGTTTCTTTAATATCAAAATGAATCTTGCAGTAAGTGTTGAAAACAGACAGATATGGACTTTGCTGCCTGAAACCATGCAACCAAAGAAATCCACACACAATGTCATTAAGTCAAAATAAAACAAATCAGGCTAATCAAACAACAACAAAAACTAAAACAAACAAAAAACACTAAAGCATCCTTCTACACTGGTTTAATGAGATAAAGTTTGAAGAAAAAGAGAGTCACGACTTATATTAAATCAGTCACTTCTTACAGATAGTTCAATACCAGAAGAAAAAAAATTTATGTGTAATCTTGACAAATTTTTATGTGGTTTACTCAAAAAGTAAAGATCACCATTAATGAAGTGCAGTAACTGATAACTAAAATCTGCTTGCCTATTTAACAGTTATTTTTCACTGAAGTGAAAGCAATCTTGGTGCAATAACCTGAACACGTCAAAAGAAAAGTATGTTTCCAAACGGCAGAATAGAAGGCTATTCTCCTGGGGAGTGCAAGCAGCCAGTTACTTTGCAAACCCTATGCTGCCCACTACAACACAACATGCTGCAGTTGAACAGACATTCCTCTGAAATGGCTAAACCAGCAAAGGAAAACAGGTGCTAGAAGTTTCCCCGAGAGTACCTGT